ACTCTTGTTCTTACCATATTTTGCCTGTCGGATGATCAAAAGTCCAGTGGAGTTAATGGACTGTCTTTGAAGCAGAAGGTTGCTCAGCTTGACCTCATTAGCAATATGCTGCTCCTTCCGGCGCTTACAAGCCTTTTCCTCGCGCTTTCATGGGCGGGTACTGTTTATCCATGGAGTAGCGGTCAGGTGCTTGGGCCTCTATTTGCATTCGCTGTTATCCTTGCAGTGTTTGTCTGGAATCAAATCCGTCGAGGAGATGTCGCTGCACTTCCACCTCGCATCATGAAGCATCGCTGCGTGATAGCGGGGTTTATCTTCATATTCTGCGTCAACAGCACGGGCATAGTGCTGGAGTACTATTTGCCCACCTACTATCAGCTCGTTCGTGGATACACGCCCGTCAAGAGCGGCTACATGATGTTGCCCATCATCATTGCGGCAACAGTCGGTTCACTTATCCATGGAGCGGGGACAAGCACATTAGGCTACTATACTCCTTTCATGCTTTTCGCATCCATCATCATGCCAGTTGCTGCAGGGCTCATCACCACGTTCAAGATTGATACCAGTTTCGAAAAGCTTATCGCTTACTCGGCACTTTCAGGTCTGGCCTATGGCATTGGGTTCATCGGCCCCCAAACAGCTGTACAGACAGTTCTCCCAGCCGAAGACGTCCCGCTTGGCCTATCTATCATGCTGTTTGCTCAATCATTCGGCCCCGCTATATCAGTTCCCATTGCCCAGGTGCTCTTCACAAACCGACTTTCAGATAACCTCGATGGTGTCGTACCGGGTTTCAATGGAACAGAAATTAGCAACAGCGGCCTTACCGAGATGGTTACCAATGTGCCAGAGTTTGTCACAAGAGAGGTCCTGGTTGCAATCGATAAAAGCCTTGGGCAGACATGGTATCTTGTAGCAGGGCTGGCTTCGTTTGCAATAGTTGGAAGCCTGATGACGGAATGGAGATCAGTGAAGGAGAAACGCGAATGAAATCACATAGAGGTCTGCTGGCTACTCTTCAGCCTTGTAGCCTTGAATGAAGGATGGACCGGTTTATGTTGAACCTCCCACTATGAGAAGCTTTGTTTGACAAAACTGTCCTTATTAAGGGTCCTGCGAGCAGGGAACATATAGGATAGCGAGCTGGCGATTTCAACAAATGGGCTACCGATTTGGGCATTACCATGGCCGTATACTAGATAATCGACTGACTTTATCTTTGCTACCGCCTACCCTTTCAAAAGCATGTCTCGACCGTTTTAATCCGCATGTGAAGCGATGATGTCGGCCACCTTTTCAGTCTGACTCAACTGCACCATGTGTCCGGCACCAATCCGCACGATCTCGCTTCCTGCCAGACGCGCAAACCTTTCCTGCAGCTCAGCAGGTAGTATCTTGTCTTCGTCACAGATGATGTAAACACTTGGGACTTCTCTCCATCCGCAATACTGGAGCTTGGTTGCCCAGCCTCTGTCGGCCTGATGTTGAAGACCCAGGAGCCATTTGTTGGCATCTTCATCTGAGAAATCGCTATAGAGCAAGTTTCTTGGATCTTTACACGACTGTGTACCGTTTGACTCCTAGAGACGGATTAGAAAGATGGGCATGGGAAGGATATAGAAGATCTTACATGATAGTCAAAGAACTCCATCGGTCCTTGTTCGAATCCCTCAGGCGCAACACCAGCTGTGATGAAGACAATTTTCTTGACTCCTCCAGTCTTGGCAGCATCCTTTCTTGCTTTGAGAGTTAGGCCTTTCAGGGCACCGCTCCCAATGAAGCCGCCTGCAGAGTGCATGACAGCAACGACTCCCTCTTCACCTGCTTCCTCGACGACAAGAGTAAGGTCCTTGACGATGTTGGCAATATCATCATCCATGGTCGGTCTTTCTGGAGGAGTCTTGCCGGTGCTGTAAATAGTCGTGATCGCCGTTTTGAAGCCTCGTCCATCAAGGCTGTCGGCGAGAGGTTGGAAGACCGTTGGACCTTCATAGAACCCAGGAACGATAAAGATCGTAGGAGCCATCGCACAACGTCAATCTGATTTTTGTTGGGAATTATTCACTCTCACAACATTCCTGATCGTAAGCTCTTATAAGGCTCCGGGTCTTGCGATTCTGACGTAAGCGCCAATTTGTTAGTCTGCGACTGAATGACATACGTGGCGTTGATGCATTTCCAGATACATACACTAAAGTCACCACGTAACAACGAGATCATATATGTTGGAACGATGCACAGTGATAGATCTTTCTTAAATACAATCTTTAGTTGAGTGGCGCTCTTGGAATCGTGCTCGCTCAGAATACCCCCGACTTTTCTCACGAACAATTGGTTCCCTTGTACTCCAAACCCGTCACTTCTGGTTGGCCCCCAACTACACGACATAATCGGCTCTCGGCACCATACAATACGTACTCAATAATTGCAATGGTCAGTTGAATTACAAGAAATTCCATTCGTCTGCCATTAATTGTCCCCAAGGCAGCTTACACCTTGGCTTTCGTGTCCTCGGGAATATCCTCCAAACTTACAAGCAATGGCGCGCATCCAATAACGACTGATGCGTTATGCCGTCAGACTGCAGCATCATGCCTGGTCCACGCTGGTTATTCCAAGCTTTATTCCAGGAAGGGCCTTGCTCGCGAGAGTGAGGCTTTTCAATGAGGATGCGAGGTTTATCAAGACCAGTTTTGGACGATAGAACCAAGCATGCCGCCGCCAAGATTTAATACGTCCCAGATCCGGTCGTCACTGAATAATGCCGACGCGGAGTGGCTCATTTGATTGAGTAACCAAAAATATAGACGCTACCAGTTCCGTGATTGGGCTCCGCAGATACTGATGGGATCAATATCTCGGTAGGTATGGCATTCATTCCATCGGTCATACACGCAAGGTCGTCCTGAGTCGCATTTTGGATTCTCGGCTTGGAAAAAGCATAGAAACAGATAATAAAGCTGCAAGGTTAACTAAATTGACTGCCTGTTATAGGAGAGAGACAGCATACATAAGGCACCACGGAAACGATGCAGCGCGCACATCAATACTGGGACTGAACAAATTGGATTCCCTTGACTAAGCTCCTGTGACTCTGTTCGGGTCTCTCTTCCATATATAAGTCGACACATTGCTTTGTTCAATCCTCATGTCCCTTGTTCTTAGAGTGGCAGCTTGCTTTCAACTCTTCTTCCTCTCCTGTCGTTGCGCTCCCTACAGGATCCGTTTGTCTTCCCCTCCCATCAGTTCCCGTCATCCTCGAACACTCTTATCAACGACTAACAAGTACCATGTCTTCGGAATCGAAGCTCTTGACTCTGCAGTGTTGATATGGAATAATAAGGCTCTTTTTGGCGGTCAGCCATCCGACCTCGTTGGGATACTGTTTGCGTTCTCTATTAACAGACCACCACCGATCAGCGTTGTCATCAGCATGCAGAAACTATACCCTTTAACCAAAGAGATAGTTTTGCTCAACCACGAATCGAGAGATCGCAAGCCCATCTAACTCAAGTCATATTGCCCACAAAGGTCATTGCAAAACCAAGCCCGAGTCGATCATAACAGTGTCTATCTTCTACCAAATGCAGCACACCGGCTTTCAGCGCCTTTGCAACCAAGCATACTCGCTGGCAGCCTCAAACACTTTCTCTATAAACAATCTGTTGAACTTAGAAACTCATCGCCTGGCGGTAAAACATCACGTGGCTCCCAAGTGATGTTACTAACTGTATTTTCCGAATTGCTTTTTTATCATCCTTGTGGCTGATCAGCCTCGCCTCAGGCTTAGAAACTAGCAGATATCCCCTGTAACCTTTGAACAACGGACCTTTCTCCCCTGTTTCACTGTTTCGGCTGATAACGCTAGTGTAGAGACCAGGTCCTTGGAACCAAACTAGTGTGGGGTCTGTCTATTCTTCTGGACGCGTTTCGATCTTGAGTAATGGGGATCTAGCGAGGCGTCTTGGTGCCTACAAGAACATCCTGCCGCAACAGCCAACTGGTTCGCGCCCTTTGGATTCTTATTGCTATAGTTAGGTCAGTTCGCTATTCCCTCAGTGGTCTGGCGTTTGAGAAGAACCCAGAGCCATGTAGCTTGGCGGGAGCTCCAAGGCTCATCGTGAGTGGCAAAAGTGCCTAGAATGAGTCACATTGCTGTAGTGTCTCTCGGCTATGCCCCTAGTTGTCAGTCAGTCATTTATTGAGGTGAATTCCTAGTGTAACTTGGCTGCCAGGATTAACTGTACTCTCAGGTACATTCCACGCCACGTCAGGGGTTTTTGAGACTAGCAGCTGCGGCTGAGCTAAAACGTTGGGTCTTGAATAGCTCATGATGAAAATGGTGTAAAATGATTTGTCGCATTTCCTCCATCGGCTGAACGTCATGAGGAGATTAAAATTGGATCAGCAACCTGATGACGTTGTTGTCAACTTGGGAAGACAGTATCTGGTTTCTCCTTGCAGGATTAACGGCTTGGAACTCCTCTTGTTATCCACATTTGACCTTCTTTCACGGTCTGCTTCACCACCACGGGCATGGATAACTCGGTGCACCGAAGCAGGCTACTCTCAGGCTAGAATCACCATGCATACTCTTGGCCGTTCATGATTTTCTGAGGCGTTCATTTGGGTGCAACTGGCTGTCTTGAGCTTAGCAACGTCTAGTTAGTCTAGACCTGTCGAGCACTTATGACGTGTTCTTTTTCCCTCCCGTTTCCACGACACCCTAGGCTGTCCAGTCACCAGAAGCCAACACTCCTGGACTGGCGTCCATCTGTGCTCTTCGCTTGCTGTTGTGAGCTGTACTCTTCCGCCTGAAGGATACCACGGCCCTTTTAATAGCCTCCATTCCCATCCTTTTCCCAACTTCGAAAAGCGCGACTATCTTTCCATTTGGCTTCCACCGAAGCTTCCACCACCTGTTGGTATGGGTTTCGTCCCTAAAGCACACTCAATCTAACTCCTCCGTTCAGGTCTCCGGTACCCTACTGGTAACTATGGTACCTAAACTCCGCAATCTCGACACCGATTCTGTCGACTCCCAGACCCCAGATGACATCTCTCCCACAACTCCCCCCCAAAGAGCCGTGGAAGAGTCCCCGTTGTCTCCTCCAATTCTCTATGATCCGTCTCCAACTCGTGTCCCCGACACTCCTCGAACATCACCCCATGGGCAGAATCTAGGTCATCGGAGACGATCTACTACCACCATCGGAGGTCGTCTCGCCGCTCCCCGGCGGAGATTCCCCGTCATCAACTCTCGACGCGACTCACAGCGATCTATTGATAGAACACCAAATCGAGTAGCCCGTCAATATCGCCGCATGCGTACTCTTGGTAACAATCAACGATCCGGAAGCTTCCTACAATACATCTCGTCTGTTGATGATCTCAGTCGAGCAATCGCTGGCGGGCAGCAGGCTTACCCGCTGGAGCGTAGGAATAGACAACCCCTTGCGCATTATCCTTCGCGGTTGATTCGCATCAGAAGAACCCGCACCGTCTACAGCCAGTTCTGGGTAGATCCTCCAGCACCAATCCCAACTTTCGGTCACGACGTGATCGGTCAATCGATTCATACATCCAGGCCACAGCCATCTCATCCACCGGCCAGCAGGGTGATTGCCCCGCCGGAAGAACCGATGCCAGAGCCTACCCGGCTGAGTATTGATTCTCTGGGCAGTACGGATAGCGGCGTCACTGAGCATGACACTCAGCCCCCTGTCCGCCAGAACCGCCCCCGTTGGCCGGGACACGTGTTGTACTGCGACTGCGTTATTTGCGACAAGTTAAATGAGCCTTATAGCCCTTAATGTGGTCAGACACTCAGGATGTCACAATATTGAATATGGGTTGCTGAACTGGGCCTACACTAAACGCTGTGAGGCTAGAACTATAACAAAGGCATACTTGTAAATCCCTATTTATGTACAAAACTATCTTTGAACAGTTCTACAGCCTCTAAAATAGCACAAAACTGGTGTCAGTTCCAAAAATATGTTCTGGCAGCCGTCTCAAGGCTCAAAGTATCGTCGTCTTTGGTGTTGACCCTGATGCTCGGGGAACATAGTAGCGTAGAATTCAGTCCATTCGCCCATTCTGACCCGGAGAAGATTGTACTTTTCCAGATATTTCACGGCCTCTTCGTAGTTCTTCACGTTTGCACAAGTGAGAGTGATGGGGTTTCCACCAACTGTGCCCCTGCGCGTATCGCTTGACGAACTCTTTTAAGTCTTCCAGCGGAAAGGTTTCATCAATGTTTATGTCCACAAGCGATGCGTTCGGAAGCCCGTACGCCACAGCGTTGGATATATAACTCTCCATGGCTTGGTATATATCTTTGAGGGCAGGATTGGGAAGGAGGTCTTGTGTAGCTGGGACAGGGGAAAGGTCAGAGGCAATGGATATACCATTACGGCGACCATCGGCTGAGGCACCGCGAGGCGCACCGTCGCCGACATAACCTTCAAAATTGCGGATGTCAGGAGTGATAACGAACTTAATGTCTTTGTAACCACCGACAGTAACTTGCTGAACAGACTGATTGATGCCACCTCCCTAGGGAAAGTTTCCGCCCACGCCACAGACAGCTTTATTTCCATATGATACATGGTTGTAGACAAAGGCACGATTGACAAAGGTGTTCTCTCCGATCTTTAGCCAGAGACAGTCCACAATCTCATTGGCACGGCCCAAAGAGATACTGTCCTTCTCCAAGAATGACCAAAGGATCAGATCCAGACGGCCCAGTGCAGTCGATTCGCCGACTAGATGCAGGCAACAGTGCACGGAAAAGACCAGTTGCACTGCATCTTGGAAGTCTCTGGGTGGATAATCGACGGGATGTGACAATCGCTTGGAGATGTCCTCCATGTTGGCCTTATAATCTTCATTCGAGGCGTGAGCAGCTGCATTTTGTGTCAAGATTGTCCAGCTGCGCAGGTAGCCTTGCACTCCTTTGATAGACAAGAGACCAGAACAGAAGAAGGACTTCTCCTTAACTTGGCTGGCATTGTCAATTTTGACTTGTAGCTCACTGTGGAGTTCCCCTAAGCCCTTTTGAACGAGGCGCTCTTGGTCTGGAACTACAAGACCGCTAGCTGACCACTCATTGAGCGAACCTTCGAGCCAAGCTTCAATGGTCTCCTCCTTTGATAGGTATGGGAGAACCTCTTTTCCGTGGCCCGGAGTAAAACCCGGAATAACGCCAACAATGAGCTCTTTGGGATCAATGCGAAGCAAGTCGTTGAAGCGAGCTGTTTTGGACTCTGGGTCCGAGAGTGACAGTGTGAGTGTCTTGGGATTTGCGAGACCTTGACGGACTGGGACAGGCTCACTCATGACTTTTGCCTTGTCTTCCTCGGTGTCATAAAAGTCAGTAAGCGCAGGAAGTCGCGGGAAGTTCGGCTTATCCATCCAGCCATCGGCCCAATGGGAGAACGTCCTACCGAGCAAGCTCAGGAACCGATCTTTGGGAGCATCACCGCCAATGTAGCGACCTTGAGACATCTGATGAAGGTAGTCCTGGGAGTTATGAAAGAGATAGCCATTTGGGCTTCTAACGTCCCTGTGTGAATCTTTCATTACATCATCGAGACTTGTCAAAGCAGGGACGCCCAGTTTCTCTGCAATGCGGACATAACTCCAAATGGCATGCTCATAAAATTGCAGAGGGGCATGCACCAACCATCCTGAGGAATACACTGTATGATGGTACAGCTTGAGACTATTGGATACGCAGATGCGAGACCTCTAGCCTTGATGTCCCATCGAATTGGTCTTCGCCTTGTACTGTTCAGGGTCCAAGTACAGCCAGCTGAAAGTCTCCGGCTTTGAACAGATTCTTGCTCATTATCGTCAATGTCAATAGACCATTTACTTGCAGGACCAGAGTGATTGACTATGCGGACAAGAGACCCGGCCGTCACTTCCACATTTCGTCCGTTGAACCAACCATCATCAAATCATAGAAGCTGGCTTGTACTTCAGGGGTCAGCATATTTACATACCAATACGCCGTTTATCAATGAACGAGATACCAGGTTTGCGTTCATCAGTCCACCATTTTCTAGTCCATTCTGAAGTTGGTCAACGCCAAATGCCTCACAGCCCCTTGCAGATGGCTTGTTTCTGGTCGTAAGCCCGAATTACAGCGTTTATTGAAGTGATGCTCCATCTGAAATCTGTTGCCCAACATGGTATCACGGACTTGGACAGAATGAGGCTACTGTAGTCGATGTCGAACGTCCATCTATGAGGGTCTGCGGATAAGCTAGTGCTGTCACTCCAGGACATTGCAAACGCTGTTGACGCATGAGGCGACCAATTGTGTCGAGTCGTCCCAGATGAAACTTTTCCATGCAGGCATTCATTCGAGACAAATCAAGCACAGACTCACATCTACAAATTCTTCGATAGGTCGGTTGATGGTAGAGTTTGTGTCAAAAAAGCTTGGTGGCTCCCTAGCCCGAATCACGCAGGGTGGAAGTTGAACAAAAACAGCAAAAATCCAAGTCCCATTCAAGCAAGCTCGTGAGCAAGTCGGAATAGGAGGAATCTACGACAATTGCGACAATTGAATCTCCGTCCATCGCATTAATCGTCGTGTCGAATCTCAGCAGTCTACTCGTTCGACCATCCAGGACAGAGTGACAGCAGGAACAGGAGGTACCTGTCACATGCTTCCATGCCAGCCCCACTAACTCACGCCCACCAAACCTTGGTGCGAAATTGTTAAGGACGATTGGGCACGATTTCGCAGCAGCGCAACAGACTTTGCGACGTAGCGTGCTCAAAAAAGAGTTTGAGTTGTTGATTGTAAGTATAAAAAGGGAGACAGGCACTTGCCTGTCCTTGTTGCAGTCTCAGAATATTGGTTTTCATTAACAACCAGGCCACTACGACTTAGTTTTCATCAGAGTGCTTAGAATGTCGATTTTTATCTCATCACTGACTGCTGTTGGTAAGTGGTTGAGCATTTGCAACTTAAGTACCCTTCTCGTCTTCATGTTCTTGGGCAGGTGGGGGAGTGTTGTTGTCGTTCCTTCCCTTCTTTGTTGTCGCTCTGGGGGAGGCTGAGTTGACGCTCCGGGCTATCACGTGCGATCACCTTCTGAAGATGCTACCAGCCACTGCACCGCCTTCGAGAACGCCACGCCATGAGCGTGCATTCAGTTTGACGGTTCGATAATTTGCGACTCTTGGGCTCACTCGTTTCAATCTTCTTGTTTTGCGACCCTCGACTCCTTATTCAGGATCAGCAATAAAGATGTACGGAAGAAATGGACTAATAGGAACCAGAAAACGATGCAATCCTTGCATTGACAAGAGGCTCGAACTGGGGGGTGACGTATCTTCCTGATCCAAAGATACAGTCAATAACAAAGTGCTATGATGTCAAAGTGAACAATGATGATACTGCAAGACCTACGCGACTCTCGATGGCTTATGTCTTGAGAAATGCCAAGGATTCAGTCTGAGTTTGGGACACATATAGCAACCCAGTAAGGTTTGCGACGTAGCACGAGATGCAGAACACATTCGTCGCATTTATCTGTGAATTAAAAAGCATGTTTGTTATTTAGAATTGGTTCTGGCCGAAAGGCAAAGCTTATCCCGCCATGTCTCCCAAGTATAAAAAGGGCGTCACCGCCCATGACAGACTTAGAATATCTCTTAGCACATACCATAGCCCAGCTCGGCACTGTTTGAATCAGTTCGCTCTGAATGTCGCTATTTATTCTGAGGCCGAAACAGCCTGACTCGTTGGTTTTCTTTCGATGTCCTGAATCCTACTGAGGCTGTTGCGGCCTGGGGAATGACCCTAAAAGGGTATCTATACGGGGTTCATGTCAAATCACACATGAATCCTTTTGATCCTTCGATGTTACGAGCGATGATGTAGCTGTCGTACCCACATCATTCTCAGAGTCGCGAGCCTGAGTGGTGCGAACGGTTCAGCCTGAGCTCAGATTTATCTTTCTGGGAACTGGGGGCACAGACGAACCATAATGCTCGTCATACGGGTTTTCAATACTCCCCAAGTGTAGTATCATAACAAATGAACAATGATTACTATCTCGCGCTGAGGTTAGTTGCTCGACACCAAGTGTATTGGGATGGAGCGCATCAGTCTGAGTTCAATACAGGATGTATGAATTTCGGCTGAGAGAAAATCACTTTCAGCTAAGGCGCATGGTACTCTGAGGGAGTAGAAGACCCAGTGGTACTTCACCCATCCTCCAAAGTTGAGGCCAAACATGATCAGTGTTCCTTCTTGCGATTACACGATATACCTTTGACTCAATCTTTTGTGGCCTCTGCATCTACAAATCCTTTTAGATCACTGAGTAGACAAATTCATTATTTTTCCCCAGTTCGCATTTGAATGCTGTAGGTAGGATAGATAGATCTCTAGCGCAGTGTCGTCTAGCGTGTCCCTATCACTAGCTGGCATCGTATGACGTAGGTCTTCTGGGAAAATCCAGTTCTGGACTCCAAAATGCAACAAAGTCCAACATTCGACACAAAACATCACTACGTTATCATGAGAGCAATCCAGATCAAGGAGTTTAACGCGCCCTATACCGTCTCCGACGTCGACAAGCCCAAGCCAAAGCCCCATCAGCTGCTCATCCAGGTTAAGGCCGGCGGGTTTTGTCACACTGATTGCATGGCCCTTGAGAATGCTTTTGGTTCAAAACTACCTTTCATTGGGTCACATGAGCCAGCTGGCGTTGTTGTTGAGGTCGGATCTGCGGTCCAAGGGTTTGCGGAGGGAGATCGAGTTGGATGTCTCAACTTTGACAGCTGCTGCGGTAGGGTATTCTCTCGTGCGCCAGAATATGTGCTTATGTGATGGCAGGGAACTGTCCCGATTGCAAGGCTGAAAGGCCGATTTACTGCGATAATCCATCTATGAAAGGCATCACGACGGATGGGGCATGGGCTGAATACATGGCAGCGTGAGTACTTCACTTCGTTATACATGCGTATCATGCTTCACAGTGCTTATTATTCTTAGCGACGCTCGATTTACTGTGAAACTTCCAGACTCACTTGACTTTCCCACCGCAGCCTGCATGATGTGTGCTGGCATCACTGTGTACGGAGGCATCAAGAGAGCTCAAGTCTCATTTGGCGGTTCCATTGGTATCGTGGGCATTGGCGGACTTGGTCATATTGGAACTCAAGTTGCCAAAGCAATGGTAAATCAGTTCCCTGCAAAACACTTTTGATACTAATACGAGCATGCATAGGGGTACCAAGTTGCTGCGATTGATGTCAAGCAAGATGCCCTGGACCTCGTATCATCTTACGATCTGAAACCCGACGTCTGCATTCTATCAACCGGTCCAGTTGAAACTTCCCTGGAGAAGATCACCAACGTCATACAAGGTGACTACCCTGGTCTCGACGCCACGGTGATCGCAACCGATGCTCCCGCCGCGTTTGAACTCGCGGCGAAACTGACACGGAAGCACGGAACTATGGTTCTTCTTGGTCAACCTGAAAAGGGCATTACCTTGTCTTATCAGAACGTCATCTTTCGTGATATCAAGCTAGTCGGTTCCCTTGTTGCGGACACTGATGAAACTGAGGAGCTCTTGGAACTAGTCGTGAAGCATGATATCCAGGTCAAGATCAAGGAATGGAAGCCTGAAGATGCTGAGAAGATGAGACAAGAATATTTGGCTGGTAGGAACAGCGGTAAGAATGTTATAGTATTCTAGACCAATTTTGCGATATTTATTGGTCTTTATGGAAGCCTTTCGGATCAAACTTTACATTGTGAAAAAAGGATATTGCCCGCGGCGTATTTGTTAGCAAGCAGCCTGAAGTCAACCTTTGAGCCAGCTGTGGCAAGGTTAGGAGGTTGAAAGAAGCTTTAAGCCCCGTGGCACAAAGGCAAAGAGCACCAATAGATACATACGGTCAAAATACTCGTTGCCCTCACTGTTGCCTAAAATCTTGCTTTTGGCTGAAAAGCTAGATGTCCTGATGACTGACTTGGAGCCAGCAATCAGCGACGGAGTTGTTATCTCGACAATTCCAACTCTTTTTCAATCCGATCACGAGCTTCCATCCAATCTGTCCATCAAAGTCAAAGCGCAAACTAAGCTTCAACAGATCTCCATCATGCCAGATAGACTCATGATCGCAGATGCGACCCTTAAAAACCTACCCATTATTAGCTCCGAACACGAGCACGTCGATCATCTCATACGCGCATCGCAATTAAACATCCAATCTTTTTCGCATTCACTCGGTTCTTCTTTTCGCAGAATTATTTCGGACCCCCGCGGGCGGCGTCATCGTCCCATACGTGAGTCGATGATCACCTTATTTCACGGCCACAAAACCATAAGATAAATTTATCGTTTGAATGACCTACCTTTCCATTTTATTTCCGAAACCGTATAAATTTGTATCCCACACAAATTCCCCTTCAACTCTGCATCAATTAGGAAAAGTCGATATGGCAGCAAAACTACGCTCAAAACGATGTCAAGAACAAACTTTCGTAAAGCAGTGGCTTATCGATAATCAATTCGGTAAATATACGAAAACAAACCATCCCACTCGGCGCCCGTTTCCACAATACTGACTTTGTTAGGCATATGCCTCGGTATTCTAGCCCCTCTGCTCATCGCGCAATGCAACAGTCTTACACGTCCCCTCACCGCCAAGCTCACGTCGCTCTCGTACCGAGACGAGTTCACGGGGGAGTACAATGTCGGGTTCGATGACAATTACCTCGTGGTCGTTCTGATCGTGGTGTTGACGGGTCTGCGGGATGCTACTATGCGGTTCGTTCTGGACCCGTTGGCGGCCGCCTGGGGACTGGGGAGGGCTAGATCCATGCGATTCAAGGAACAGGCTTGGATGGTGGTTTACTATGCCACTTCCTGGTCTGTTGGTACGGTATGATTGAGGTCTCGGCCAATTACATGGGGTTTTTAACTAATGTCGGCAGTACATCTATGCATCGTCATCGTATTGGTTGGATCTTGAGGCTATGTGGACGAAATGGCCGAATCGCGAAATATCCAGCCTCATGAAGATTTACATGCTGGCGCAATTGGCTTTCTGGCTTCAACAAGTGGTTGTCATCAACATTGAGAAGCGGCGCAAGGATCACTGGCAGATGCTCTCTCACCACGTCGTCACAATTGCTCTGGTGTACTGCTCATATCGATATGGCCTCACCCCCGTCGGCAATGTTGTCCTGATCCTCATGGACTTCAACGACTTAGTTTTCTCCTTTGCGAAGTGCCTGAAGTACATGAAGCTACAGTCTTTGTGCGACTTCATGTTCGGCGCGTTCGTTGTGAGCTGGGTGCTGTGCCGCCACATTGCGTTCCCGGTGGTATGCTGGTCTGTTTACGCGCATGCTTGGACTCCCACCGGGCGGAGCTGCTTCATTGGCTCGGGAGAGAACGTCATTGGTCCTCTGGGGGTTCCGGCAAACGGCTACTTCTATGTGCTTGAGCCGTTGATCTACACCAATGGGAGAGTATGCTACGACTACACTATCAAGATGCTATTCACGAGCGGGCTTCTGTTTCTGGAGGCACTTATGCTTGTGTGGTTTGTCATGATTGTCAAATTGGTTATTCGGGTGTTACGTGGTGGAAATGCAGAAGATACGCGCAGCGACAACGAAGAGGAGGAACTCGAGGAGGATCTACCGATCAAGGTTGAGGTTAATGCCGAGGAACTCCAATTTCCGAAGAAATATCCATCGGGAGGGAGAGGTACATCTTCTGTCTTCCAGTCGGCGAGGGGAATGGCTATTTCAAAGGATAAAAAAGGCTGTCTGGATAGAATCGGGTGCGAACAGAGGATATCACGATAAGCGACATCTTAATTGGGATAGATCAGGTACTGAGAGAAGGATGTACCCTGGAGCTATATGCGGGACATACCGTACAGACTAATGTTTAATACTAATGATGGAAACTCTAATGAACGACGTACGATGAGTATGGCTATATTGCAGTGTTATTATGATGCTGCCGACGATGCCGAGGAGGAGAATAACTGTCGGACCGAAGATATGTCGATTTCTCAATTACCGCAACATCATGCCGAGATGCTATGATCGCTATCCCGCGACTATCCCCCAATTGAGGGTATTCGGAGCATGTCACTTCCCCTCAGAGCGTCTAAGCTCTACGGTTTAGGGTAAGGCCCAACCTGTCCGTCATACGAGTGCAACGCGTCGTGGCTCCATGTCAAGCTGTATACTTGCCGCTATCCGTACTCAAACCAAAACCATCGTGAGACGAGCGAATAGAAGCAAAGACTACTGACGAAAACTGTAAACTTTGAAGACATTCAGAACGCTTGCAATAACCGGAAAAAGTTTAGCGCTCAGCGATTCCAAGGTCAACGTCGTCAACAGTGGCGAAGCGAGAGCGCTATAACCCCTGCTCCCCTGCCCTCGCGTGATGATGTTTCTCCCCCCGCACAATTCACCTCTGCCTTGTTTAGCTTACCTCGACTGCCTAATTTACTCCGCATGATTCCAAATCAATTTTCTGGACCTGCACGATTACGGTATGTCCATTCACGGCACTGCTCAAAAGGACATCCATGGAAAGCTTGCTACTGCAGCAGCAGCAGCAGCAAAGATCCTATGAAGTGGCAGGCAATAGTAATGCAGGTACCCAAATGCGCGCAGAGCTAATAATAGAGTTTCTGCTAAGGTCGGTTAAGAAATCGCACGAATTGATTCACCGTTTTGTGGCTGGGATCGTGATTATGTGTTTATGCAGGGTCGCGGCTCTGTTGAGAAAGTTGCATTCACTGCGGCTGCGCCATGTCGATGCAGAAAGGAAGAGGAACTTGCGTCTTTGCAGCTTCTTCTTCGAGAGGGGAAAACCGTTGAATCCCACTGATAAATCGATGATAAAGGCCTGGGATCAGGGATGGGGACGGCCGGGCGAAATTGCCACTGCGTAGCGAGGACCAATGGGCTCGCAAAGCGGGATGTGACATTCTAGATAGAGTTGCCGCTGCATGAAACCCCAAGAATTCATTGTTCTGAACGTGATATTGGATGGTTTACAGGATCGATCACAAGGGAATTGCTACGCTGGGATCAGACCATTTGACCTGCGGGATTTGTGAAGCCAAGATGTCGGCTGCAGAAGGGCATTGCTATTATTAGCAAAAAATGTCTTGGTACTCCGTAGATGGGATGAGGATGCAGAATTTAATTGCTTTGTTGGTGATGACTTGTTGAGAATTGTATGGCCCAAAGGTTCGGGTACATGGATCGACCGGACCCAGAATGCGACCGCAGTTTGTGACTGCGTATGCTTATTTTGCTGGTCTGTTGTGATGATAAATGAGCCAAGCAACAAGCTGTGCGAATCAAAGGGCGAATAGTTACTGCTGACGACCGTGCAACTGGCAGGGATGAGATTGAGCTTATTGTCAGCAAGCCCGAGCCCTGCGGTCAGATAATTTGCAGACTACAGTACAGTAGAGCAGATACACAGAAAAGTCATCTGCATTCGTAAAATACGGGGTTGTACAGCAGACGAGGCCAGCTCAATTTGTCTCGGCTTACAACGTCCTGCACTGTAATCGGGAACTTGGCAAGAGCCCGAGGTGACACTGCACCCGAAGATGTTTGTTTGCCCTCTGAGGGGTGAGGACCTCTAGGACCTTTACTCCGGCCCGCGCTCACGGCATTGATCGTTTACCTAGCTAATCTGTTTCACAATATTCCGATTGGCTGCGGTACGGCAGGGTGAGCAAGAGTGGGTAGTCGGATCATATGTGGGATAATCACCTCTTGGCAGGGCGATTAGAGAATCACTCTGCCCAATCTATCTCCAACAGAGACAGCTTTGGCTTAATCAGCTTTCGCTGAAAATTATAAAGAAAACAACGTGCATAAGGTCAATTCCTCGAGGGTAAATGATAAACTCTAAACCATGTGTTTCACTGCTCTTCTCCAAAAGTTTATATTAAGCTACCACCTTCTCAGTATGGACCAAGTCTCACGTAAACCAATAGCAGTCCTGTGATTTACCATCCCTGTCGGCAGTTGGTGCGTGTGATTCAATTGGCATTGCCGCTTATCAGGGATCTTTTCCTTTTCGCGCCCTAGCACCCAAGATTTTGTCCGTCTCCACAAGAACAGAAATCCACGGACGAGACATCTGATTCCAGTATCGTCACCGCCTATCACTATCTGGGAAACAAGCAGGAGGGGTCAGTGACGTTGCTGTGGATTGCACTGCTTAGAAGAGGCAAGAAAAGGCTGGGTTTATCCTTGTGATACCGTAGGCCTTGATCCATGCGCCAATGGCTAGACTAAGATGCACTGTAACTGAGCCTCGATTGCTAATCCGAGCGTCTGACCTGCTGCATAAGGCCCTATACCACTGACACTGCCGACTTGGCGCTGTAGCAGCCCCTGTAGATCGTCACTGTAACCTTCTTTTTCTCACCTCTCGACTGCGGGTACAAAACCAAACGCTAATCCGCCCATTCTTCTAGTCTGTTCGTCTGTCAGTCTCACAACCTCACAGCACAGCACATACTCCTAGCCATGCACGTACAATCTCTTCTGCTGGCTTCTGGCCTCGTGCCTCTGGCCGCTAGCCAGGGCTGCCCCTTTGCCAAGCGCGCCACAGACACTAATCTCGTCCCCCCGAGAGAAATCCCCGAGGACTTTGGCATCTGCCGCGTCGCTAGCAACCAGGCTGGTGGCGGTACTCGATCTAGGGACTTTTGGCCTTGCGCTCTGAGATTGGATGTCTTGAGGCAGTTTTCGCCCCAGTATAACCCATTGGGTGCTGATTTCGACTACACCGAGGCTTTCAAGTCTCTGGACTGTGAGTTTCACTAATTCTGGGATTGAGCACTATTTACTGATTTCATTTGTAGTTGCTGCTTTGAAGAAGGATCTCAATGCGCTTCTCACTGATTCTCAGGATTGGTGGCCTGCCGACCATGGTAACTATGGTGGTCTCTTCATCCGCATGTCATGGCACAGCGCTGGTACCTACCGCGCAATGGACGGCCGAGGTGGCTCCGGAATGGTGAGGAATGATCTCAATGCCATATTCTCGACTGTTTTGCTGACATCCGCAGGGTCAACAACGATTTGCTCCTCTCGACAGCTGGCCCGACAACCAGAACCTGGACAAGGCCCGTCGTCTGCTCTGTACGTTACACAACCGTCACACAAACCCCCAAAATCTAACAAATTACAGGGCCCATCAAGCAAAAGTACGGCAGCAAGATCTCATGGGCTGACTTGATGGTCCTTGCCGGCAACGTCGCCCTCGAGCACAGCGGCTTCGAGACCCTTGGTTTCGCCGGTGGTCGCGCTGACACCTGGGAAGCCGATGAGTCCATCTACTGGGGTGCCGAGTCCACCTTTGTCCCCAAGGGTAACGACGTTCGCTACAACGGTAGCACAGACATTTACGAGCGTGCCGATAAGCTCGAGAAGCCTCTTGGTGCTACGCACTTTGGCCTTATCTACGTCAACCCCGAGGGTCCTGATGGAAGCTCTGACCCCAAGGCTTCTGCTCTTGATATCCGTACTGCTTTTGGCCGTATGGGTATGGACGATGAGGAGACTGCTGCTCTCATCATTGGTGGTCACACCCTGGGCAAGACTCACGGTGCGGTTCCTGCTAAGAACATTGGCCCCGAGCCCATGGCTGCTGATCTTGGAGAGATGGGTCTTGGCTGGCACAACAGCGTCAACGAGGGTAACGGTCCTGATCAGATGACCAGTGGTCTTGAGGTTATCTGGTCCACTACTCCCACGAAGTACGTCCACCATTTGCATCTCAGTCTCACTCTTACTAACAAATCCCAGGTGGAGCAACCACTTCCTCAAGTCTCTTCTCGGCAACAACTGGACCCTCGTCGAGAGCCCTGCAGGCCACAAGCAATGGGAGGCTCTCAACGGCAAGCTCGAGTACCCCGACCCCTTCGTCAAGGGCAAGTTCCGCCGTCCCACCATGCTCACCAGCGATCTCGCCCTCATCAACGACCCCTCGTACCTTAAGATCTGCAAGCGCTGGCATGACAACCCCAAGGAGTTGAACGCTGCTTTTGCTCGCGCCTGGTACAAGCTCCTCCACCGTGATCTCGGCCCTGTTTCTCGCTACCTTGGACCCGAGGTTGCGAAGCAGAAGTTTATCTGGCAGGATCCTCTCCCTGAGCGAAAGGGTGACATCATTGGCGAGGCTGAGATCTCCAGCCTCAAGTCCACCATCCTTTCTACTGATGGTCTTGATGTTTCTAAGCTTGTTTCTACTGCTTGGAACTCTGCTTCTACTTTCCGTGGAACTGACAAGCGTGGAGGTGCCAACGGTGCCCGTATTGCTCTTGAGCCTCAGGTCAACTGGGTCAGCAACAACCCCAAGCAGCTCAAGCAGGTCCTCGCTGCCCTGAAGAAGATCCAGAAGGACTTCAACGCCAAGTCAGGCTCCAAGAAGGTCTCTCTCGCTGATCTGATTGTCCTCGGCGGTGTTGCTGCTATTGAGAAGGCTGCTCAGGCTGCTGGCTTTAAGGATGTCGAGGTTCCTTTCACTCCTGGTCGTGTTGACGCTACTCAAAACCAGACCGATCTCGTTCAGTTCGGTTACCTTGAGCCCCTTGCCGATGGTTTCCGTAACTACGGACATGGAACTACCCGTGCTCGCACTGAGGAGATCCTCGTTGACCGCGCTGCTCTTCTTACACTCACTCCTCCTGAGATGACCGTCCTCGTGGGTGGTCTCCGTGCCTTGAACGCCAACTACGACGGCTCTTCCAACGGCATTCTCACTGAGAAGAAGGGCCAGCTCACAAACGACTTCTTCGTCAACCTTCTCTCTCCTGCCTACTCATGGGCCAAGAAGGATAGCCAGGGCGAGCTCTGGACCGGTACTGACCGCGCCACCAAGTCCGTCAAGTGGACTGCTACCCGCGCTGATCTGGTCTTCGGATCTCATGCTGAGTTGCGTGCTATCTCTGAGGTCTACGGTAGCGCTGATGCGAAGGAGAAGTTTGTGAAGGATTTCATTTCTGCGTGGACCAAGGTCATGAACCTGGACCGCTTTGATGTCAAGGTTGAGAAGTGAACCAAGTAGTAGAGTTTTCTCAGTCACCTTTGACACATTTTTCTCGATTTACATATTTCTTCTTCATATAGTTCATTCATATAACTGTTCAAACTGCTTCAATGTGTAGCATTGTGTACACTAAAACTCCTCCTCCCCTGATGCAACCTTGATGTTGTACAAATGCGAACTTGCACGTGACAATATCATATCATCCCAATCTCATCAGCAACCCCGCAACACTCGGTAATCTGCTGACTTCACTCAACAAGTCCTACGACACGCAGAATGGGAAACTTGCTGGACCTCCCGGATGAAATCCACACTCAGATCTACACCTTGATAGGTGATTCAAATCGCCTAGCGCTTTTCCAAGTCATATATGTCAATAAGAGACTGCACAGAATCGCCTCACCGCTTCTCGTCCGCCATTGGCCGTTTCATCCCGAGATTCTACACAAAGAGGCACCTGCTCGCTTCGCACTGCATCTCGTGCGAAATCCCCACCTCCAAAGGAATGTCAAATCGATAGTCTTCGATGACCTCATTCGTATCGAAGAAGATGACACATTGGTTGGTGTTGACGGACTTGATGAACTTGCTTTAGCAGCTCGTCAACGGTTTCCAGAGCTTGCCAATGACCCTGGCTGGTGTGAAGGACTAGTCACTGCAAAAGTAGGCCCGGTAGCGGCTCTTCTCTTAGTTCTATGTACCAGAATCGAGAGCCTCAATCTCACGGTTCCATACTATCAAGAGTCAAGACTGCTGGTATTAAATCTTCTGTCTTTGGCCCTTGGACAAAATGGTCCCCAACGGCCATTAGAGAACCTTCAGCTCGTTGTGTTCAAATGGTACGACGATGACGATCCCGGAAACATTCAATGTGCGGCACCATTTTTCCACCTTCCGAATGTCAAAATTCTTGCTCTCTCAGCGTTATCTGACGAGATACCGATCAAAAGCATCTGAGAAGAGAAGGATGCGAATGAATATCCCAGGTTGGGCTTGGATCCTGACCTCCACGAGACACGGTTTCCTATTGGCACTTCACCTATTGAGGATTTGTTCTTAGAATCCGCTTGTCTCACGAACCATGGACTGCTCACTATCATCAGCGCCTGTAAAAGACTGAAGAAGCTCGTCTTCACTTGGAGAAACCACGCCAGAGCGACGGATGAAGGACATCACAGCGCCCATTTCACTCTCACTCGACAAGCATTGCTCCTCCATGCAAAATCTTTGGAGGAACTCGCGTTCAGTCTTACGACACACCGCTTCAGGCACGAGATGAGTTTAGTAAACGCGTCTAGAGCGCGAATGGAATGCCTCAAAGATTGCTTTGGACAGATGAACAAGCTCAAGCGTCTCAGCATGGATATTCATGTCCTCTACTATCATGACAATTTAAGAAACGAGACGATGCTAGATTTCCTACCGAGATCACTGGAGCGCCTTGGCCTCGAATGCGATCTTGCATGTTATCAGCCACAGGTTCTGCAGCATGTAGAATTGCTGTGTACAGTGCTGAAGGCCTGCGGCCCTGGTACCCGTTTTTGTTTGCTGAAAACTCTTGAGATATGGTTGTTTGTGTTCGGTGGCATAAATAAAGATATATATGAGCCGGTAAACAAGCTAGCGTTGGAAAAGGGCATCAAATTCACGTTTAACCACACATCTCATGGAGGGGGTAGTACGTGGGAGATAATGGGTATGATGCCTAAGCCTTATCCTCCTATTGTCAATCCTGAAACAGGTTAAGTAAGCAAGACGGGGTTCACAGTCTCGTAGGTGAAAGTTTGGATCCGAGAAATCATACACGGTAGTATGTTTAGCAAGACTGAGCCATAAAACAAGCATGATAAGAGACGCCGGCCCAAGTGCAGTTGTCTCGGCCAAAAGTCTGTGGCCTGCAATCTAGCTTCTACGTTCTATTTCTCGGGTGATTTGCTAGAGACGTATGTGGAAGGCCTTGGTATTAGATAGACTTGTGAAAAGGGTAACATCTAATTCTTATCCTTCATATGGAGATTCTCCTGCTCTAGAGCCTGCTCATCATCCGCCGCAAATTTGCTTCGATGCCTCAGCCTCGATCCATACCTCAAGAATAAGAATGGAGTAAAAGCAAAGAGACTCGCCACCGCCGCCAAGATGCTCGTGGCCACATTGCTGCCCAACCCTGTATACATCTGATGCGTGAAGAGTGGAAACACCGCAGCAGTCAGCGTACGCGTCAAGCTGATGGCACTGACCGCGCTGGCAGCATATTCTCCATAGCTGTCAGTGGCGTATCCAAAGAGCACGTAACTGAAATCATTGAGACTGAATCCGATCATTACCAGACCAATCATGCTGACAGGCCAAGGAACATTTGTGACCCGCGGTGGAATGGTCCAGGCGAAGAGCCACAGACCAATGGCGAGAGATGGTGCTGCAATTGCAAACGACGTGATCTTGCTCTCTGGGAGAATGCGCCGGTGGGTTCTGCGGTATTTCTTGTATATGTGGGCGTCGTAGATCCGGGGGAGGATATTGAGCACCTCACCGATGGCTATGGCGAGGAATGCGAGACTGGAGCTATTCTGCGAGAAATTGAATGGCGGCGCGGTATAGACTATGGTCAGTGATTCTGTCAAACCGTAAATGAGACCGAAAGCGATGGCGCATAGTACAGCGCAGAAGAAGACCAGGGGATCCGTGACAAGGAACTGCAAGGGTCGGAAGAGAGCGTTCTGCGCAAAGGTGGCCATTGTAAACCCTTGTCCCTCATCATTGCTAGACTTGACATCTTCGATGCCAGTCTCTACCCGTACTTCTTTGACAATCTTGTCGAGTAACTGGTTTGCGTTTGACTCCTTCGTGAAGATGCATGCAGCAGCGGTGACACCCATAACAATTGTAGAGATGTAGTATACCCAGCGCCTAGTTTAATGTCAGACCGGAAGGCATATGAATTACTTGTAGATTTACCAGCCAATGCTCGAAGTGATGTATGTCGAGTAAATAGGGCCCAGTGCTAGCCCCAGCATACCGAGGATGGTATAAATGTAGACGACCCAGATCCTATGTTCAGCATTATACATGTCGTCAAAGTTGCCAAAAGCGACAGTCGCTGGGATTGCCGCAGACACGCCTTGAAAGAACCGACCGAAGTATACGCCAATTATTGACGGCACCGCAGCCACTATCGCTGAGGAGATGCAGAAGATTGTTGCTGCAATGATGTATATGGTTCGTCGTCCGAATACCTCTGAGATGGGTGAGCAGAAGATGCTACCTATGGTTTGGCCCAGCAAGTATCTGTTTTCAAAATCAGCAATGGCATTGCCGCCCTGATTAGTTTCGAAGCTTACGTGGTGACGAAGACGAAATAGGCCATCGTTCTGCTGACACCATACTCCTCTCGTGCCGAGTCTGCAGTGGCTGTCTGGAACATCATCAGAAGAGTTATATCCGCAGTAGTGACCAAACTGACCCCAGAAGAGCTGATCGCCGTCATGTACATCTCCAACCAGCATATGAGAGCAGCAGTGTATGTCTTTGTCCCAAAGCTCCAATTCCGGGGGTGTTGGTCAGCATCTTCATCCCAGCAAATACGATTGTCGCCGTCGACATGAACTCCCTTGCCTTGAACAGCATCTTCAATTGAGACCTTGTTTGTCATTGCGGTTTCCGGAGATGACTGCGTAGATGATTGCGAACAAGTCAACAATTGACTAGCTCTGATACAGTGTCTGCGGTGAAAGAGTCGATGTCAATAAGCTGTGTACTCCCAAATTCTTGAACATGTATCTTGAGAAAGGTCGCGGGAAAGAAGGTCAAAGGGACAGCCCGGATAGGGGGCACATCGAACCCTTGCATCGGGTCCCCAGAGGATCGATCTGACGGGCCGTAGCCGGATTAGTGATCGATCGGCCGTGTAGGCATCATCTCTCACTAACCGACTCTTAGTGCCAACATCCAATCATGAACTATGGATGACGTTCAAGACTTTGATCATTTGAAAATTGCGCGATAGTTTAATATCATCTATTTTCAAGACGGGTAGAAAACATCCGGGGCCTTTTGATCATTACAATTTGCGCGTGTAGGCTCGAATTAAACGTTTGAGAAGGTCAATGACGCGCTGTCAAATACCAGCATCACCACTTGTCCTTTCTGAGACCATTTGTGAAACCACAGAAACCTTGTGAAGGGATAAGGACCTGGCATGTCTCTCATTTTTTTCATTAAACTACCTTGTATTGAATGGGTTTAAAGCTACCACCATTAGACTTGCCGGCTGAGCAGGCAGTAATGGCAACAATAAGGTCCATCTCCGCGACAAAGTCGATATGATCACCAGCCTTACTAATAGGCGGCTCCACCGTGAATTTGCCCGTTTTGCCATCTACAGGCACATTCATGAAGCAATTGAACGCGCAAGGAATGCGGTCTGGCGCGATGTCGTATTTGCTTAGCGCCAGGGAGAGGTTGCCGAAACAGCCGTGGTGCGGCTCCTTGTCTCCGTAAATGATGCGGAAGGTGTCTTTGGAACACGGCGTTAGCAGAAAGTCGTGACGTCCGCAAGTGTCGTCGACAATTTTGAGCATGACATTGCTGCGGTTTGAGTACAGCGGGTGGTTGGTTGTCAGGTATATGGTGTCTGCATAGTCAAATGTGCGTCCGTTGGATATGACTTCGTCTGTGTCGTGTCGGTTGAATGCCACAAGGTCAGAGACTTGACCGCCTTTCGGGTCGATTACTGTCAGGCGTTGGCCCTTGTCGACGAAGAATGAAGTTCCTGTTCGAGGTGCAAGTTCGATGATGCCATCGGGTAATTGTCTGGTATCCTCCATTCCGGGAGTTCGGCAGGGGCCGTGATCAGTCGATTGTGGCAGATTAAGTGCTGATTTGAGGTGAACCGTGAATCAAATGGTAGATATTGAGGCCGTTCCAGAAACGGGATTGTTATTGAGCTACGAGATATTCCATGACATTTGTATTAGTGACCACCTCATGCTCAATAGTTGGTAGATTACAGTAACATCTCGTAATATTCCCCGTTGCTAGTTTCCCTCTACCGCAAGCCTCACATCATTAGACATAAGAGCCATGCCTAATTAAGACTTGATCTGTACAGAAGCATAAACATGTTTGGCGGCTTTCCTTTTATCTAGTGTAGATCATTTGCTGGATCCTGATCAATCAGCTAAGTCATCTAACCCATCGCAGTCGATTTGCATGCTAGCTGTGACGAATATTACGAGATGTCATGGTAATGTTGCTGAGATGGTGACCGCAGCATTCCGTTGTCGATGATGCGACCATCAAGGGCATGACCTCAGCGGCTCAAGCTTCAATATCCCGGAGGATCCACCTTTCCCCAGACTCGATCTGTCATCCCGATAGCGCTAGCATCAAGCGCTGAACAATTTGGGGAGCCATAGAAGACGACTGCACCACGAAAGGTTCTAGTAAGATGGTTTATAGCGTGATCAGATTGCAAGCTAAAAGCTTATCTCGGACAATTTTTTCAGTTGATAGACCTGACAGCTGATGCTTGCTTTGCGAACTTTACCTCAAAGCGGTTTATAGCCTATATAGACCTCGGAGGAAAAGTTCCGGCCGGGATATATGTGTGCATCATCGCTTGGCGCATACATCATGTTGATTTCATTAGTTCTATCCATAGACCACATAATTCTAGCAATAGCCATGACGCTATTAGGAGTTTTGTGTTACGGATCTTTCCCAGAAGCCTGACAGCTCGATCCAAGACTAGCTTCCGATCCTAGCACTCCAGTGAATTCACGTCAGTGACTTGCACGTTGTCCTGTTGGTATTATGAACGTTGCTAGGTTGCCACTATGATAGTACATATAACTTGAGTCTATTCCCACTAAATCAATACTGAACTGGCATTCCCTTTGAACATATTACGTGCTATTACTAAATATTCTCAAACTCTCCTCATCATGCAGTTCGCTATCAATGCCGTCATATTATTCACCGTCGTTACGGTGATGGCCAAGTTAATACAATTTCGGAAAGCCCCTATCAATCAGTTCATCAAGAAGCTAAGCTTTGTGACGAATGGCTTCAAAGTCGGGACACCTCCGTCGAAACACGAGGAAGCCGCCTTACGCGCCGATGACATGAATGAAATCCTGTCATCTTCATCAACGGACCTGTTGACGAGGTTCGCGACTTACTCATCGGTTGTATTTGCAAAACTGACATGCTATCAGGACTGAGGTTGAGACTCGGTTCGGCAAGGATACTTGGCAAGGCCTTGCATACCACGATTTCAAAAGCACAATATTAGCCAAGGGGAGCGGCATGAAAACCTTTCCTTGCGTATATGCAACCATGGGATATCGATCAGACGATCATCGCTATGTTTTCCTCGAGTCAGACAACCCATCGGAGCCCCGTAATGTGCGCAAGGTAGCTCTAGCTCTAGCCGAGTATCTACGCATGTCAACTTCTCTGGGTCCTAATACATCACTCGTCATCATCGGCGGCCCCTCCGAGAAGCAGCGAACTGTCGAAGAGCATAACCGTACCTTCTGGGACATGCTTCGAGGTCTTCGTATCTGCGATCCAAGACCTTGGCCAGAAGATATTCCACAAGATACAGAGGATTCTAAGTGGACGTTTTGCTTCAATGGAGAGCCTGTATTTCCGGTCATGTTAACGCCGGCGCATCAGAAGCGCTGGAGTAGACATATGAGTGTGCCGGTGATCGCCTTGCAGCCGAAATGGGTTTTGGATAACTT